CATTAAAGCAACTTATAAAAATGTAAAACAATGCCACTCTTCTCACTAATGTTTTCATTAAAAGTATCTTATTTATATTATTATGTAATAGGCTTATTATTTTAATGAAGAAATAATTTTTTAAAATATTTCTAATTCAATAAACATTGAATAGATATAACCCATGGAGACAAAAGCTCTTTGGGGTCCTCAATAATTTTTAAGAGTCTTAAGGGTTCCTGAGATCAAAATGTTTGAAAACCACTTTCCTAGACCTTGTTTGATACATCTCTCAAAAATCACCAAATCTAAAAGTATGAATTACATACTCTAAGTCAACAATCTATTGCACTGTTCAAGAAAATCTTACTAATAGGCATATATTAGGGATATTTGAAGCAATTTCTTACATTAAAAAATGAATTTCCTAACTGAAGCCTATTTAATATACGTGTCATAATGTAGGCAAGAAGAGCCTAGGGCCCAAAAAAGACCCTTAATGTTTTCTCCCTTGCTGATCCTGACTTTAAAGTGCTCACTTCTAATTACTACACTATTAAGCTGCACTATAAGTGCAGACGTAACCTTTATAGAGGACAATTCTAATCTGACACTTTAAAGGTCTCATCCTGCCTGAGAAATCTGTCACATGTGGTGCAAAACGCCTGCCATCAAGAGCTCTTCTTGACAAAATGTCAGTTTGAGAGCCATGCACCCAGGCCCCCAAAACACTCCAGAGCAGACGCCATCCTGCAGTGAAAGTTCATATGAAATCAACATGACTTAATTACAATCATCACACAAAAATCAGATTCTATGCCAATGATACATGGCACTTGGAGCTTATTTTACAAACATTAACGAATTAATCTGCCAAACATCCCTGAGAGGCAAAGACATAATGATATATGAGTTGACAAGCTAATTATGTCTAATTATTCAAAAGATTTCCCCCTTCCAAGTGGTTTTTATTGCCAGTTCAGAGAAGTGGTCCTGCTATTTTCTTAAATCAGTTATGAAAATCAACTGTCTCTTATTTCATCCAGAAATCTCTTGCTACAAAACACCCACATTTCTTTGTGGAACAGATCAACCTGTACCATTTTCCACTTGAACAGCTCGTAGAAACTCCAGGACCCCAGATATTACTCTAGTGCTAAACTCACAGTTCGACATCTTTGCTCCTTTTTTATCCCCAAGCCATTTTGATTATTATCCCCAATTGCTTTGACCAATTTTGCTCTGCTGTTCTCTTTTCCTTCTATTGTATCTTTCTGCAATGAAGAAACAAGCACAGACCCTACCTATCAACCATGAGATTTCTTTCCCCCAAATTTTGAATCAAAAAGCCAAAGTTGCCTTCTCTATGCTTTCCTTCCTGTTGTCTCCCTTTCTGGAGCCCTTCTTAGGTTTCTTCATGCTCTCCATAGTCTCTCGTTTCTTGTTCCAAGTGAAATTTAAACAATTTTGTTTTATCTGATAATTCCACTTTGGCTTCTAAATTTTCTCCTCAGCAGCAAGTTGGGCCTTGAAAGTGAATGCCATGTGTTTAAAAACATTGCTAGAAGACATTAAATGGGATTTTGCCATTCATGAAAAAAAATGATATTATATAATTATGTTTATGTTAAAATGCACAGATTTTTGCAGGAATGGGAAATAACAATTCTTATGAGAACTGTATTAGTCAGAATTCTCCAGAGAAACAGGATGTGTGTGTATATATAATACATATGTATGTATGTATGTAAATATATACACATACAGAGAGAGGGAGAGAGAAAGAGAGATTTTAAGGAATTGGCTCATATATGTATGGGGCCTGGTAAGTCCAAAATTTGCAGGGCAATCTGGAAATTCCAGCCAGAGTGGATGTTGTAGTCCTGAGTCTAAGGCAGTCTGAGGCAGCATTCCCTCTTCCCCCGGGAAACCTCAATCTTTGCTCTTAAGGCCTTCAACGGATTGGATGAGGTCCACCCACATTATAGAAAGTAATCTGCTTTACTAAAAGTTTACTGATTTAAATGTTAATCTCATATTTTAAAAAAATACCTAGGCTGGGCGCGGTGGCTCAGGCCTGTAATCCTAGCACTCTGGGAGGCCTGAGGTGGGTGGATCGCTCAAGGTCAGGAGTTTGAAATCAGCCTGAGCAAGAGTGAGACGCTGTCTCTACTAAAAATAGAAAGAAATAAACTGGACAGCTAAAAATATATAGAAAAAATTAGCCAGGCATAGTGGCGCATGCCTGTAGTCCCAGCTACTCAGGAGGCTGAGGCAGGAGGATTGCTTGAGCCCAGGAGTTTGAGGTTGCTATAAGCTAGGCTGATGCCACAGCACTCACTCTAGCCTGGGCAACAAAGTGAGACTCTGTCTCAAATAAATAAATAAATAAATACCTTCACAGCAACATCTAGCCTGATGTTTGACCAAACACCTGGGCACCATAGTCTAGCCAAGTTGATGCATAAAATTAGCCACCACAAGAGCCTACCTTGTTTTAGAAAGCATTAAGGTGACAATATTTTTATTTTTGTAATCCTACCAGCTCACAAAGAACCTCCTCTTCTAAGTGGTCACTTACTATTTATTTGATGAGGAAGTTAATGAATGTGTGTTAGGCTTGTATTTCCAATAAAGTTGTAAGCTTGAGGGACATTATTTCTCTTGCATTTCCTGTAACCATAGCAATGACATAACCTACATTTTCTGGGGTAGGTTATGATTTCAAATGTTCTGTCCCATTGTCACACCACATTCCTGATTTTTAATTTTAGAAACATGGTCATTATATCTTTAACAAGTAGTTGCATGCTGAACGTGGTCTGTAAATCCTAATTAGTAAATACTTCCTGCTTGAAATGGAATTTCCAGCCAGTGGACATTTTGTTTAAAATATGACAAAAATACAACTGGGGGAAATTATCATTTCTCTTCTCATTTACTCCTGAGATACAAAATATGATCTGGTTCTCATGTTTTAAATTTTCCATGTCCAGTTTTCAGGGTGTGGTTATAATGAATTGCCAAACCAATATGAAGTAAGACACTCAGTAATCAAGGGCAAGTTTATACAGTGTTGAACATTTTTTTTAGGGTGAGTGATCTTGCAGGTAATATATCCTGGGAAGGGCTTGTACAGAAAGGGAGGGACACAATTAGACAAATAAAAATCCCTGTTTATGGTTTCCCTGTGCAGGTAATAAAACCTTATGACTTTAGGAGGAAGGCTAATGAACTTTTTAATACATAATAAGACAGTAGAATTCAGGAATAAATAAAACATTAAGCATTTTTTTCCAATAAAAATTATGGCTTTTCTTGACTGCTGAAATTATTTTCCTACTTTATAATCTGGTGTGATTTTTTAAACTGCTAGTTTGTTCCAATATGATATCTCAGAGGAGAACAAATTATACCACTTGGAATTTAGATAGGCCTGCTGAAAATTTAAAGCTATCATATAAAAATGAGTGATGAATTATCTTCAGGGAAGCCACTAAGTGCCTGAACTAAAAGCCTTTGGATAGCGAGATTTAGTGACAACTTAGGTGCAGGGTATGAAGCTACGGGAGAGATGAAAGATGTCTTAGCTGTGGTAGGAGACTGGAATTATGCTAATCTCATTATTAGATACAGAAAAATTAGGGCAGAGAACCAGTTTGGAATATTTAGTAGAAGAGTGAAGGTGCTGAGTGACTTCGAATATGTTGAATTGAAGCGAACCATGGCGATACCCTGGAAACAACTGGAAATACAGAATAAGAATGCAGGTGAAAAATCAGAACCAGAGCTGAAAGTTTCCATAATCTTTATTATTAGAATTTAAATGAAGTCTAAAGTACTGACCATGATTATCTCACCCTCACGTCTACCCCAGGCCACAGATTTACTCTTCTTGGCCCCTGGCTGGATGGAGTAACCTGCAGGCTCCGGACTCGATTTTCACTCCTTCTGGAGCATGTGTTCGCCTTCCTCACCTGGAGTGCTCTCTCCTTTCTCCGTCCCACATCCCAACAACCCCACATCCAACTTCAACTCAACCTTCATGTCTCACGTCAGATGTTGCTTCCCTGACTACCCCTTACACGCACATGGATGCGTGTGTGCAAACACACTCCTGTGCTAGGTTAGCTGCCCTCCTGTGAGCTTCCAGAGTTCCTGGTATTTAGTCCCCCTTTATACTATGTTGTAAGATCCTGCTTACTCATCTATTCATCCAGCTTGGGTTTAAGGCTCCCCAGGGGCAGGGATTGCACATTTGTTATTTTTTGTTTGTTTTTTTTATCATGATTAGATGTATTAAGTGTTTACTCTGTCAGGCACCAGCTAAGTACTTTTAAAGTTCTCATAAAAGATATATTTTTTAATGCATCTGGTAGGTAAGAACCAACCCTCTGATTAGAGACCACCAGATATCCCAAGATGTTGCAGGAAGAGGGATTAGTACCTTCTAGAGCCTCCCTCTCTTCCCCTAAGTAGCCAGTAGAGAAAAAAGAAAACCTGTTATATAATGCAAAGAAGATAAACGTTCTTCTAGACTTACTTCAGAGTCAGAAACATTCTGAATGGGAACATTCTCTCATTTCACAGATGAGAAAAACGTGGCTCAGGGAGGTAGGGGACTTGTCCAAGGTCACACAGAAGGTTAGTGGCAGAGCCAGAGCCAGAGCCAGAGCACATGTAGCTTCTCATAGCACAGGCCTCTTCATAACCCACACGCTGCCTCCCCAGAACCACAGTGAGGGCCTTGCAGGGTGGGGCGTGTGTTTGTGGGGGTTGGTGGGGACTGCCCTATTGGCTGCCAGGAGGCAAAACTCACCCTGCCTCCTCACACATGCAGCTTCTTCATGTCCCCAAAACACTCATGAAGAACCCAAATAGGCCACAACACAAAGCAGGGCCCTGCAGAGAGAGCTATCAGACTGGTCCTTGCTTTCTTTATCGTCTAAGACACACCAGTGCTGTGAATCTGGATAAATAGGACAGACACTTGTCAACTGAAGAATGACGGGGTTCACAAATTTGGAAAGGAGAGCTTTATTCCTCATAAAGGGTTGCGGTGTGCAGCGTGGTCATACTGACAAGCTTAGGAAGCAGAGCCTCTAGCCAGAATGAAGAAACAGGCACTTCTAGGGAAAGGGAACAGGGATTTATGCTAAGTAGGGTGGCTAAATATACATATTTAATGAGCTATAGGGGAAGTCATGAATATTTATGAAAGGATAATCATATGCATGCATAATTGAGCTTCAGGTGCCTTCATGGGTCCCCTGTTCAAAAAATGGCAGCATTAGCATGATCCAAGGATGGAATTCTCAGCCCCCTGATTGTCAAAAGGTGAAACAAAGGACACGAAAACTCTCACTGCGCATCCTCCATAAACCACTCTGGTCAGTAGTCTCTTCTCAGGAAGGAATGCTGATCAGTTGTGTCCAAACCACAAAGGGAGGAGCAGCACTCTGGTTGAAATCAGAAGTGTAGAAAATCTGTCCAAAGGGTTAGTTCTGTTAACCTTAGGGAGGAAAGGCTGATGGTAGGTAATGAAGGAGGGGATATAATGAAGCATATCTGACTTCCCATCCCATCATGAGTAGGAACTTAGTTTTAAGGTTTCTCTGTGGTCCCCTTGGCCAAGTAGAGTTGTTTTCTTTTCTTTGTTTCCTTTAAGCACATGCAAATCCAGAGAAGGGCTCCTCGGAGGAAGTGTGTCTAACTCTGTAGAGCAGCCTTGGTAATTGACTGGCTAGACAGGTTTAGGAAGCCTGCAGGAGACACAGATGATACTCCATGCTGATCCTGGAAAATTTCACACACAGTAAAAATTCTAATTAGCAATCTGGGCCTAAAGCTGTTCCTGGGTGCTGCTCTCCAGGCATCAAGCTGTTCTGTGGCACGGGAGCCCACCAAGCCACAACTCGCTGTCCCTGCACACACACACACACACACACACACACACACACACGCCTGCAACTCCCACTTCCATCTAGGGTGTTCTGTGTCCCTGACATACTCTGTCTCCTCCCAGACCCTTGCTTTGGTCACACTCTTCTCTCAGGCCCTGCCCGAAGACCACAACCTCCTTGAAGCTTTTCTATACCGTGTCTAGCCTGCTAATCATTCATTTTTCTGGAACCCAAGATTAATATCCTCCTGTATTTAGCACTTAGTTATCTAGTTCATACTGAGTATGTACTTATTAATCTTTCTGTGTGTGTGTGTTCTCTCACCTAAACTGGAATTAAGCCACTCAAATTAAGGGACAGATCTAGCCTCCCCAGTGAATTCCAACTTCCTTCCTGGAGCAGTGCCATGTGAGCAGTGTGCACTCCATTAAGCCTTGGATGCCGCTGCTGCTGCTAACAGTGATGATGATAATGATGAAGGAGGAGAAGGAAGGGAGGAGGAGAAAGACAGAAAGTAATTTCTATTCAGGTATAAAGGTCATGGAAACCTAAAGGACAAGTTAGATTACTGTAGAGATTGAACTTCTAGCCAAAGAAAAATGGTCTAAATGATCAAACTGATGTCTGAGAAACTTCTACTTGCCACATTTGTCACATCTGGTTTCATAGATCAGTTCATTGGCATTAAATGCAAAAGCGGATTGTCTCTTCTATTCCCTTCCTCGAGGAGCATACTGTGATGGTTAACTTTATGTGTCAACCAGACGGGGCCCCAGGGTACCCAGACACTTGACCAGATGTTAGTCTGGGTGTGTCGGTGAGGGTGTTTCTGGCTGAGATTAACATTTGAATTTGTAGACTGAGTAAAGCAGACTGTGCTGTGCTCCTTAATGTGGTGGGCCTCATGCAGTTGATTGAAGACCTGAATAGAACAAAAAGGCTGAGTAAGAGGGACTCCTGCTGCCTGAACACTTCAGAGGGAACATCAGTCTTTTCCTGCCTTTGAACTCTGACTGAAAAACCAGGTCTTCTTGGGTCTCAAGCCTGCCAGCTTTTGGACTGGATCTTGTATGACTCTGGCTCACCAGGTTCTTGGGGCTTAGACTGAAATACACCACAGGCTCCTTGGTTCTCCAGCTTGCCGACTAGAGATCTTGGGACTTCCCCTCTGTGATCATGTGAGCCACTTCCTTATAATAAATCTCTGTGTACATGTGTGTGTATCTCCTATTGGCTCTGTTTCTCCGAAGAACCCTGACTAATCTATCTGGGCTGTCTTAATTGAGCAGCAGAAGTCCTGACTCCACCGCAAGCCAGCAGTAGACATTAGATAAGCATTCAGCTTATTCAAGCTGGTGTTTTTGCTTTTGCTTTTTAAAAATGTAAATTTTGGCAAGGCACAGTGGCTCATGCCTATAATCCCAGCACTTCAAGAGGCCTAGGCAGGAGGATCACTTGAGGCCAGGAGTTCAAGACCAGCTTGGCAACATAGTAAGACCCTTGTCTCCACAAAAAAATAAAAAAATTAGCCAGGCATAATGGTACACACCTGTAGTCCCAGCTACTCAGGAGGCTGAGGAAGGAGGATTGCTTGAGCCTAGAAGTTTGAGGTTGCAGTGAGGTATGATGATACCACTTCACTCTAGCCCAAGAGTAAGACTCTATTGAAAACTAAATAAATACATAAATAAAAAGAAAATATTTAAAAATATTTTTTAAAAACACAAATGTTCTGCCTACTTTACAGAGCTTTCGTGAGAATCAAACAGGATAATAGAGGTGAGAGTGTAACAGAGGGAATGGTCTGAGAAAATGGCAAAAATGTTTTTTGTCTCTTTAAAACGTTTTTACCTTTTTCAAGAATGAAAACCTATATCTCTGTCTCAGGCCAGTCGTTCGGAGGGGCGGGGTGGGGGTTCCTTTGTTCTTTGTGCTACAGGAGATAGCTCAGCAGAATTGTCCAGGCTAAGGTTCCGGTGAGCAGAGGCCACAAGATTGTCTTCCTTGTCTTCCCCAGACATGGGACAGATCAGAATCATCAACTATAGTTAAACAACAATTGCCTAAAACTGAAAACTCTCCCTTTAAAAGCTCTATATTTCTACTTCTTAATAGGAATTGGTACTTTAAGATGGGAGTCTGCCATTTTCTTCATTTGCTGACAAATTAATAAACTCCTCTTTCCTTCTCCTCAAACCACTTGTCCTCAATCTTCTTGTGTGGCCTTGGGGACAAGTGCCAAGCTTTTGGTAACAAGAGCATTTGTAAACCATAAGCTAGAAGGGAAAGTTAATACTATGATGTGGATAACTACCTCTTGACCTCTGATCTGTGGCCATTTGTCTAGCTCTGTGTTTCTCACTTCAGGGCATTTTTCTTTATCAATCGCATCTAAAATCTGTTGTGTTGTCACCTCAAATTAAATATGCTATTTCTAAAATTAAGGTTCTTATCTTACTTCCCTCAATACTTTGTCTAGTCTGTGACCAGTCTTATATATAACAAATCTATGATGTGGTAATATTTGAGGGGCAGTTTTGCCTGCCCCACCTCCATCTGCCCAAATTCTTACCATGACAGAAATACTCCTTTGGGTTAAGACCTTGTGTTACCAGGAGAGTCTATTTAGAAAGCAAATAACCACAGAAGAAAGAGATCTATTGTGTTAACAACCAGGCATGGATTCATTCCCAGGTGCCTCTTTGAAAGTAGAGAGTGAAGGAATGAGAGGTGAGGTAAGATGGGGTGGTGGGGGGAGATGTTGGGGTGCTGTCCTGGGCAGGACCCAGCCTTGGGCAGCCCTACAGAGTCAGAAGTCAGTAAAGGCAGGTAGGACAGGGTGTAAAAGGAACTGTAAGGAAAAAGGCCTTGAAAGAAGCCAAGAAAAGGTCAGAGTCTCAAATGGGCAGTGGGCACTAGGTTAACATTTTGTCAATTCAGTACTTTTGTTTAGTGCTGGCTCTATTCTTGTTTCTTCAGGCTTGAGACCAAATACTCTTATCAGCTCTCTCCTCCCTTGGCCTCTTCTCCCTCCCTCGAGTGATCACTCACTACACCCTGCTGTTTTAAATTCCACATCGCTTGGATCCTGCCTTCATATCTTGTTCCCAAAGACACAATTCTGCTGCAGGTCCTGAGGGTCATAGCAGGACTGTGCTTGATTCCTGATTCCTTGATCCTTGATTCCACCCCAGATGGGTCTCCCCTATTCTGAGAATTGTCTCCTTCATGTGTAAACTGATCCTAACATTCCTTTTCCCAGAAGCCCCCTGTGACTTCAAAGTGATGCTCAAATAAATCAAACTTCTGGCTCTTCCCTGATTCCTAATCTGGTCCTTATCTAAGGTTCTTTTTAGTAATAACTGACATTCTTACAGTGAATTATTTTTTGAAATATTATAGTTAACTATAATCTGGCTGTCCCTCTAATACTCAACTGAAACTTCTCAGGAAAAGATCACCAATGGCCATCCCTTATTGACAAAGCCAATAAACACATTTCATTTATTGCCTCAGTATTCTCGTTGTGCCTCTCAATGGCACCATTCAACATGCCTTCATTTTTGTAATTCTCCTGCCCAAGTTTCCATGTCACTACTCTATGCTGGTTTTCCACAATACCGGCTATTGCTCCTGTCTGCTCAGCATCCCTCTCCTCACCTTGGTGATGTCTCCACCTCCCTGAGTACCGTGGGCACATGACCCACGTGGGCCAATCACAATACTAAATCTTTCTGTTTTCAGTGATTGGTCCAGGGATTGGTCACATGTTCTAAATCAGGCCAATCAGAGTTTTTCACCTAGACTTCTAATCAAAGTTGGTTGGGCATATCCTTAATCAATGAGTTTTGGTTGGGTAATGCATACCCTCAAAATCAGTGGCTTTTAACAACCAAAATTTATTTTCTTGCCCAAGAGTCTACAGGTCTGATGTGGCTCAGACAAAGAAGCAAGAACTGTCTTCAGGTTCACTTCATAGATTTCTTTATCCCCCCTGGAGCAGCGGCTACTGGGGGCATTCTCTTCTCAGGGAGGAGAACAGGAGCACAGGACAAGCAGGGACATGTGACACCTCTAAAGGTCTTGGCTGGAAACTGTCATACTGCCTCTGTCTACATTTCCATTGGCCAAAGCTAGTCATGTGGGCAAGCCCAGCATCACTGGGAGGATGCCGCTAGTGGGAGAAATGGCAGTCACTGAGCGATGGGTGGGGATGCATGAGACAAATATCCCTGCATGTGGGGGCATGAAGAACTGGGGACAATAATCCAACCTGCCTCATCCCCTTACTTTTCTGAACTCAGGCTTAGAAATGGACATCAGGAGCTGCTGTGACCACAGTCCTACCACGTGAAGCTGATCTTCTGGAGCCCATATCCCAAAACCAGGTTCCTAGATCCAGTGGTCCAGCTCCACCCCTGCCTTCCTGGGTTTTAATTACAAGTTAATCAATTTCCCTTTGATTTGGGATCCTGTCACCCACATGCCAAGAACCCTAGCAAATCCATTTTCTTACTTCTCAGGTGGTCTTTGTTGGCCTTGGGCTCTGTGCTTGGCTCTTTTCTCTAGAGTAGAGGTCAGCAGGGCCAAATCCAGTCATCCTCCTGTTTTTGTAAGCGAAGTTGTATTGAAGCACAGTCATATGCATTCATTCACGTGTCGTCAGAGGCTGCTTTCACACTGCAATGGCAGAGTTGAGTAGTTGTGACAGATACCATATGGTCCACAAAGGCTAAAATATTTACTATCTGGCCCTTTACCATTGCTCTAAAAAGATGTTGGCCATTTGTTCTCCCTGGCCAGTCTCATCCCTGCAGGTTAGTGAGTCCCAAATCTATTCCATGGCCCTGACAGCACCCCTGCACCTTAGGGTCATTCTGCACATCCTTTTCTGCTTGAATATTCCACAAGCTCCTCAAATTCAATGAGTCTTGAAATCAAACTCTTCCCCCCAAACTAGCTCCTCTTTCCTCTTCCCCAAATCAAGAAATAGTGCTGCTTTTGTATACAACAGCCCCAACTAGAACACATCTAGACTCTTCCTTCTCTCTCCCTCCCCTGCCCTGTTGATAGGTTGTGCTGGTTTCACTTCTAAACATTGCTTACATATCCCTCCTTCTCTCCAGGAGAGAATCCTCACTGGAGCCATAGCAGTCTCCTGCTAGTCTCCTACCTCTGGTGTTTCTCCCCTTAGAACCACACCCAAACCTCGCCTGCCCTTCCAGCAGGGGAACGCTTCTCACAGCACCAAGTTTGTCCTGCTGATCCTTTATCTGAAGTTACTCAGTGGGGCCCAGCGCTTTGGGAGGACAACGCAGGAGGATCACTTGAGCCCAGAAGTTCAAGGTTACAGTGAGCTATGATCATGCCACTCTACTCCAGCCTGGCAACAGAGTGAGACCCTGCCTCTAAAAATAAAATAATAATAATCAATAAAGTTACTCAATGTTTCCCCATTAAGAGTTGAGTCCAACCTTGACAACCCAACACACAAAGCCTTCAATTTTCTGGTCCTGCCAGCCTCTCTACTCCCATTTTAGGATATGTTTATCCCAAGACTAATGTGGATAGTCTTGCCTCGGTGCCTTTGCTTATGCTCTGCCCGCTGCCAGCCCTGTGCACCCCCACCTCCCTTCTTCCTGTGGCTAACACATCTCAGGATTCCCAACAGTCAGCCCCCTTTCTAGGTAGTCTTCCCCGGCTGCACCTGCCTTCCTACCCTGAGCTGATGGTATCTTCTTTGTTCTCTCCCATTCTCATGCTGAAGTTAACTTGTAACGCTGGCTCTCCCTACACAATGTGTCTGTTCACTCACAACAGGGTAAGCTCCTGAGAGCGGGGCCCCTGCTTTATTCAACTTCCTGTCCTTGGCTCCTGGCACAAAGTAAGTGCTTGGTGAACTGAGCTGAAATACAAGCTGTTTTTCACTCACATTACCTATTACTTAATGTTCACAAAAGCCTTGGAGATAAATATTGTTATGCCTACTTTATGAATTAGGAAACTGAATCTCAGAGACGTTGCCCAAAGTCATGCTGCTGATAAGGAGCAGAAGACTAAATCCAGGTCTGCTGATCTTGAACTTTTGGAACCTCTGATCACATAACCTTGGGTTTTCTTCTGGATTCATCTTTTTGTATTAGTTAAGAAATATAGTTACAAAGAGCATATATGACATTAAGTGTATACCTTTAATAACGATAATAATAATAGGAATGCCCACGTAACCCATCACCCAGTTTAGGAATTAGATCATTGCTGACACTTTGAACCACCATTCAAATTTTGTGTTTATCATCCCTTGCTTTTCTTTAGGTTTTTCCCACAAATAGATGTACTCCTAAACAATGTATTGTGTAATTTTGAATGCTTTTAAATAATGCTGTATATAATCTTCCATGGATTTGCTTTTTTAACCCAACATTATGTTTGCAGGCTTCATCCATGGTGATGTGGATACTGGGTAGCTGTGGTTCAGGCAATTGCATTGCTGTGTAGTATTCCATTATATGAATGTACCAAAATTCATTTTCTCACTATTCCTGCTGATGGACACTTGAGCTGTTTCCAGTTTTTTTCTGTTACAAAGAGTGCTGCTATCCTTGTACATCTCTCCTTCTGTCCATGTACAGAAGCTTCTCTGGGGTATGTACCTAGGAGTAAAATTCACAGGCACATCTTCAAATTCACTAAATACTGCCAAATTCTTTCCAAAGTTAATAGCATCAATACTGAATAAGAATTTCTGTTGCTGCGTGTCCTTACCACCAATTGGTATGTAAATTTTTTTACAAGTGTGTTTTGCCAACCAGCAGGTGTAAAATGGTTCTCATTGAGAGTTTTAATTTGCATTTTTCTGATTACTGGCTAGATGGATGTATTTTATATGTTTATTAACCATTCATATTTTTTCTTAGGAAAAATACCTGTTTATGTCTTTGCCCATTTTTCTCCTGGGTTGTCTGACTTTTTCTTATTGACCTGTGGGAGTTACTTATATATTCTGGATGTGAATTCTTTTTCAGTCATATGTGTGATAAGTAAATGTTCTCAGTTTGTGACTTATCTTTTCACACTTTGTGGTGTCTATTGATGTATAAAAGTCCTTAGTTTTATCGCATTTATCAATCTTTTCCTCTGTGGTTTGTACTTTTTGTATTTGTTTAAGGAATCCTTCCCTATACTTATTAATAAATGTGTTATAAGTAATGTTTATTTATAACACAACTAGTGTTAACTGAATTGTGCTAAAGATTAATTTTTTTAAAAAAACTGTTTTGTTAATGCTGCAAGTGGATGGTCCCAGGCAAGGTAGGCAAAATGTAACCCTGCTCTCAAAGTTTCTGGTAAAGTGCACTTCAAATGACATGGCACGAGGATAGAGTTCTTCAAATTAACTTTGGAAGACAGACCTCCACATTTCAGTGCTGAGGACAGGAAAAAAAATCAAATGCTTTTGGCATCCTGCGAAGGGAGCAGGATATCTCCAGAAGAAACCCCACAAGAGGTAGAGGCCATCACAGAGTACAGAACAATCTCCACAGCTCTGCCTACACTGCTGGGACCAAAATAGTTCGCATGGCATTCCTGCCGCCTCCTTGTGAACTGTGGGGAAGGAACACTGGTCACGAATTCTTCGTTTTAACCACCCCCACACACTAGGACAGCAGCAGCAACCGCAGTGGCATCTTGGCGTCTGGAGAACAGCACGTGGTGGGCTGTATAGCATATCATCCCTGCACCGAGCACCGTCTTCCTCCCCAAGTGAGAGGTTCTTAACAAATGCAAAGACACTGAAAATGTTTTTTTTTTTAATTAGAAAATAAAATGGGAACGAGTTGAGTGTAGCAGAGTGTCAACTAAAGAAAAAAGCAAAGCTTTTAAAGAATTAAAGTCAGTTTTGTTCAGAAGTCATAGTGAAGACTGAAAACAGAGGCCTATAGCCCAGGAGTGTTTCAGTTCACAGTTTAAAGACAGGTGGTGGGGGGTTCAGGATGTGCAAAACCACATCAAGGTTTTGGTATCACCTGGTTATAGATTGCTCAAGTGCATTTGGGAATAGAGTGTAGAAGCATAATCGCTAACCCCATCAGATGTTATCTCACCTGTAGGAAAAGGCAAGGACTGGGGTAATTTATCTTTTAAGGAATATCGTGACTCAGGGGCCGTGTGCTCTATCCTGTTTTGTCTCTAAAGTATCTTTCCAGAGAGTTGCATATCATCACAGAGTGAGAGGCTTTGTGAAATTATATTGGCAAGTGGACACAAGCAAACCTGGCTTTTTACATTTGCTGCTTTGTCTCACATGAGTATGGGGGCCAGATCATAAAGGATCTCATATGCCAGGTTTAAAAAGTGTGAACTTTATTGTGTCAATGGGGAGGTTTCCAGGTATTTTAAACAGGAAAGTAACAAAATCCATTTAGTATTTTGCTTGTTAGCGACTGTACAACTACTTACAATCTGGCAGATAGAAAATACTAATGAGTGATTGAATCAGGCTCTGTGGGTTTCCCTCCCACCACCACCACCCCAATTCCTGTTCGTCCTGACTGGCAGAGCTCACCTCTCACTTTCAAGCCTAGAAATGCCCAAGAATCATTTTCCCAGCCTCCCTTGCTGCAGTACCTCAGGGATGGCAGAGCAGAAAGATGGAAGTGACATCATAGAACCACATAGAGACATATCCCTCTGGAGATAACAGATAGTTATTTTTAAAGTCACTCTTCTTTGGATATTCTGTTACTTTTGCCCTAAAGCATACCAAGGGAAAGAAGTATTAATAAAATAACTGACATGAATTAATGTGATGTCATAAAAAAATATAACAAACAGACACTTTTTTCCTTCAGCTATTTATTTGAAATAAATCAGCCTCTTAAAACTAGGAATAGTTAACTATCATTATTAGCTGTTCACCGAACATTTTGGATCCTCAAGCAAGAAACTACACAACCTCCAAGATGACGTGTGTTGTTTCTCTGTATCTGAAATGACCTTTTCTCACTTTTTTTTCTCTCATTTGCACATTTCCCCTAAGAAACACTGAAAACTTTCCCCCTGTTCCCTCCTAGGCAGCAATGTCTCTTTCTTGAAGTCATGGAAGTCAAAGCACATTCTCTAAGAAAAATCAGCGTTGTGTAAGCAAAAGAATTGCAAGTTCCAGAGCTTCAGGCAGCAATATGATGTGCTCAAAGTGAAAAATTCCTTACAGATCATCTGTAGTAACACATTATAATT